GCTCCTGGCTGAGAAGCCACCTCAGACAGAACACACTGAGCTGTGAATGGGAGTCTCTGGGAGCCTCAGGACCAGAGGAGCCAAGATGGGGCTATTCCACAAAAGATGTTGCTCAAGAAAGATGGATTTTACAGAGGAAACTGCAGGATTGGATGGTGGGGATGGACAGGGGCCAAGGAAGGGGAATATTTGTACCTCAATTTAGAAAATAAATTTTCTTTTGGAAGTCAAATCAGGAGTTGTGTCTTGAGTAGCAGATGACTCCATCCTTATTGAGGGGCAGAAGGATGAAGAGAGATCCCAACATAGAAAGACACCCTTTTAGGGAAAGGTTTGGGGAATGGTTGCTGGAATCTGAAGGAAGGCAGCTGGTTGGAGGGAAGGAGGTGGGACGTGCTTATTCCCTTGTGATTTACCTCGGAGTTAGCAACATTGTCACACTGCAGTGCTAATGGCCGTTGGTTAGCAAGTATGGGAGTATAAAGCCCCTGTTAACTACAGACCCAAGGGGGAGTTGGTATCCATCACAGACTCTCCTCCATGGACATCCACTGGGTGTTCCCAAGTAAGAAGATAGGAGATAGCAAAGTCAGACAAAGCCTGTCTCTAAGGGTCTGGGAACACAACACTGCACAAACCCTTTTACATAGAGAAAAAAAATCCTACAACCTCTACAGAAAAAGGATGGAAGCCTCTCCTCCCAGAGCTCTGGTGAAGACCCACTGAGGCCAAGGAAGCAGAGCTGTCATGCTCTTTCCCCTCAGAGGAGTACAGGACACGGTCCTGGGTGAAGATGTTAGAGATCCTTCAGTACTGGAGAGAGGCAGGATTGCTGAGAAGACCCCACCTCCAAGACTGGGACACAAAGTCTCCCTAAGGCTGGTATTCGATCAGAGCTAAAGAGATTACCCGCAGATACTGTCACTAAGTCGACGGCTACCAGGGACCATCTACCAGAAGTCTACTTCTACCAGAAGTCTACTTGTAGTGGAAAGTGAATGTGTGGAGAGAGACTCTCTGTGAGGAGCAGGTGAACAGGCTGAAGAACATATGAAGAAAAGAGGACAAGGATGTTGGGCAGGGGAGGGCAGAACAGCTTGACCACACAGCTGCCATGACAGGCTTAGAGGCCCAGACACAGCTTCTGGTGGGTAACACCTGGACCCAGGAGAAGCCACAAGCTGACCCCACCCAGTGGGGCCTGCATGTAAGAGGAAATACCCAACATTCCAAATATTCCCTACACCCCTAGACAAATGTCAGTCAATCAGGGCCCCGAATCCTAGAAATCCCCTTACCCCAAGCTCTGCTATGATTAAAAACTCCACTCTGCCTGGGCTCTAGGCTCTCTGCTCTCACCACTATGTCGGACAGAGCGTCTAAGCTCTGAGCTCGAAAGTACAGGCTCTTTTCTTTTACATATGGGATTTGGTCTCCATGGTGGTCTTTTGGAGGTCCCCGTGATCTGGGCATAACCGATGGAAGAGAATACTTTATAGTAATGTGCAATTTTCCAACTCATGTTATTGATACTAAGCTGCTTGAAGATAGAACATGTACTACCGAAAGGAGTGGTATTGTATACATATGGCAATCACTAATTTTTTTTTTACAGTGCTGGGCATTAAAAATTTTTTTAAAAGAAAGGTCTATATAGTAAATCAGTGTTGGAGATAAAATGGAGATAAAATTGTCATTCTCAAAGCAAGCTGACATGGAAAATGGAGCAAGGACTAAATGAACATTCAGAAAAATAATGAGTAGAGTTCAGCTTGTGAATAATTCTGCTAAGTAAAAAAGCCTTAAACACATGAGTTAACAAAGACCTTGAGACTGGGATTTAAAAGATAAAACCCAATTATGTGCTGAGTAATATGGAGTCTGGCTCCACTTCCTAACCTTTGACTGCTGGTAGCTTGTAAGTCTCACCCATCACCTTTCCCTCTCGCCCCTTATCTGGAGAAGCTGATTAGAAAGCCTGGGCACTTCCTCCTTTGGTGCCAGAGTAAGATCCAAGCCTCATAAGCTCACCCTGGCCCCACCCCAACCACATAAAAGTCCTAAGCCAGTGGCCTTTCCTTCCTGATTAAAAGCTCTATTCTGTCCCCCACACTGAGGCCAAGACCTCTACTCCAAGTGTTAGAAGACTGTACAGTTTTCCCTGGGGGAGGGGAGGTGTGGTTAGTATTGTTTACTCCCAGTGGAGAAACACTGGAAAAGACAGAGATAGGTCATAGGCAGGAGACAGGTACACCAAACAGATACTAAAAGAATGTGTGATGGCTATGTGAACATCAGGTTAACAGATACCATGAGGAAACATGGGGACGTAATAGAATAAAAACATGACATGGCAGTCCTCAGCATGTGTTCACACAGCCATAGTGTCACACAGGCCTGTAGCAGGAATCTTAAATGGTCTTATTAATAAAATCAAACCTGCAGCTAGGTACTAGGGTCAACGCTGGAAGATCAGAGAAGCAGAACAAGCCACAGCTTCCTCACTTCACAATTCCTCAGTTGATCCTGTTTCCTCAGACTGGAAGCCTCCGTGTCCTTATCCAAATGGATCTCAGTTGAACTGCTTTTCGAAAGCCTGAAAGCTTAACCAACTCTAGTTCCTGGTCCTCACGCCTCATATACCTTTCTGCCTCCTGCCATCACTTCCTGGGATTAAAGGCTCTTGTTACCACGCCTGGCTATTTCCAGTGTGGCCTTGAACTCACAGAGTTCCAGTCGGATCTCTGCCTCCAGAATGCTAGGATTAAAGGTGTGTGTGCCACCATTTTCTGGACTCTGTATCTATGGCTGTTCTGTTCTCTGACCCCAGATAAGTTTATTAGAGTGCACAATATATTGGGGAACACAACATCACCACACAGGCCTTGCATGGTATCTTTGCATGCAAGATATAAACACACACACACACACACACACACACACACACACACACACACACACACACAAATCAATCCCAAGACAAATTTGAGTCCTGTTGTAATTTCAGAAAATACTCAAGTCAGGGAGGGGAGAGACCAATAGGCCAGGGCTCAGCCATCGCAGGAGAGGGGAGCAGACTTCTAGTGGAAGAATGAGGCAGCCCATGGGGAACCAGCAGGAGTGGGTATAAAGTGGTTGGAGTTACCTGGAGGAGAGCAAGGTGTGTGATGTCTGTATCTGCTCCCACCTACATGTGATCAAGGGCTGTTTGATGGACCTAGGAAGAGGACCGAGATGCATGAGGGAAAGCTGGGCAGCCCATAGATACAGCTGCCATGTTTTCGCTGTTCACAGCCCTAGCAGTTCTGGATATGGACCTCCTTTTCACAGGTGTCTTACTAGGTGCCAAGATATAAATAACACTTATCCAATTTTCTGTTTTCTTGCTTATTTTAAGATTTTTCTATCAGGTAAAAGTTGAAGAATTGCTTTGGGGCTTTTCCAAAACCCAACGGCCATGTCAGAGCCCATTTCAACTGACTGGAGTCTTCCTGAATGGGACCTGGGCATCTATATTTTTCATTTTCAGGCATTCTGACCCAAACTTCCTATTGAAGATCACTCACTGTCTAAACAGAATAGTATACATGTTGCCTAAGTTTCTAGAAGCTGTCCAAATTACTGCTTTAATGTCCTTGACACTGAAGATGCCCTTTAACAAACAACTTTAAAAACGGTACTTTCATCGTTCAATGTGATTTCAGGCATCCAGATCTTCAGGAGATGGGGTGTGTCCAAGGCTAGGCCCTCTTTCAATCACTCCTAAATCCTATAAGCACATGTCCCCAAAGAGTCTCCTCACTTCATCAGGAACAGCTTGTTGTATTTTCCATCACTGTAGATTTTTTTCCTCAGAAAGCTCCCCCTACCCACAACCGGCATTGTTCTTGTGTGCTGTTCCATGATATCAATCAAAGCCACCATCACAAACTCTCACTGGCCTGAGTATTTCCCAATGTCCAGCAGAGGGCAGCACAGGAAGAAAGGAACCTGCTTCTCTCTGAGGATCCTGGGAGGCTATTGCTCTGGCTGAGAAGGTGCAGTCTTGGACAAGAATAGAAGCCTTAGGAAGATCAGTCAGAACTAAACCTTGGGTGTGGCGGCACACACCTGTAATGTCAGCACTTAGAAGGTGGAGGCAGGAGAATCAGAACTTCCTCAATTATGCAGGGAGTTCAAGGCCATATCAGACTCTGTCTCAAAACAAAACAAAAGATAGAAACCAATATCAAATATGTTGCCTGTCTTTTCTGGAACATGTGGAAGTGGGGAAAGGGACAGACAGCCCCTGACCTGAGAAGAAGTTTTCATTCCCAATCTTTGCATTTTGTTTTACTGTGGAGGGAAATACATTTGGCAAATGTTTGAATAATTATGAGTGACTAAGCAAGTGGGTGATTAGAGCCGGAGACTGTGGAGATATGGAGTTGATTTAACACAGAAATATTCACCCTAAACATGCTAAAAAGTAGTGAGTTTTCTGACTGTAGAGGTGGATGGCAGCAGGCCAGGCCACTTGGCAGGAACATGACAAAGTAATTTAGGCGTCAGAAGGAGAACCGTGTCAAACTTAACTTCACTTGCAGACTTGAGAACCCGGAATGCTTTGACACACTAGCCCAGGGAAGTCACAGATGTGTTCTAAACTCCCAGAACAGCAGCTCTGGAGCTGTGCATTGCTATAGAATTTCCAGCCTTTCTGAGGGTCTCAGACAAAAGCTTAGCCCTGCCTGAAGGTGCCGTTTGTTGTGTCTGCCTTTGAGAAACTCTAGGTGGATTGAGGTTAGCCACAGGGAGAGACCTTATGTAAGAAGTTGTTGGTCCAGTTTGAGATCATCTGTAATCTGATAGCTGAGTCTGGAACCAATTATAAAAGCTTGAACTCAGGCAGGATCTGGCCTGGGTTGCCATCAGACCCCTGGGAACTCTGTGGAACAGTGAGAATACCTTTCATCTCATGATTAGGCAACTGGACTGCATATGGGTGTTGTCACAAGACCTCACAATCTAAGGGGCGATATACAAAACCCTCCAGAAGAGCTTCGAGAGCACCTCACAGGGACCCAGAGCAGCTGGGCATCCACCATGTGGCTCTTTGCTCTGGTCCTGGCATCCCTCAGCACTTGCATGGCTTTTGGTGAGTTCTTCTAAAATGCAAACACTGGGGGAACTTTTGAAGCTCCTAGGCCTAGACTGAGGTGAGTGGAGATGGGCGTGAGAGAATATATGACGGGCTCCATCTGCGTCAGTGCTCACCAGCTGGACTTCAACATGGGCTCCAAGCATCAGAGCCCAGCAAGCGTCATCTATCACAGAGATGCAGGGAAGGAAAAGCACCCTGATACCCCAGCTGCAAGTGCCAGAAAAATCAAGCTAACCCCCTGCCTCAATGTGAGGTGTTAAGGGAGCCTCAAGCTATCTCCCAAGTCTTACTCCAGATCTAGTCAGATGTGGAGAGAGGCTCAGCAGAGTTTGAACAGCATCGAAGCAGGAGTCAGAGTGCAGGATTAGAGCCTCACTCAGGCCTTCTGAGCCCCAAGCCTCGCCAAGACCCTTTAACTATGCAGTGCCTGCATCGTGAATCTAGAAAATAGGAAAATGATAGTACCTTCCTCACTGGACTGTAGTGAGGATGAAAGAGGTGGTTGTTTCTATAGCACTTAGCATGGTATCTGGGCTAGAAGCACACACACGCAAAAATAATAGATGGATTTAAAGAGGTGGTAGTTTAAATAGGGTATATTAGTAAAAACTTGAAATATGGTCAAGCCAACATGTTAAGAGCCAATGGCCACAGAAAAGATAATTTGCTCCTCAGTTCCCAAGAGGTGTTGGGGCTGAGCTGTGTGCTGGGTAAGAGGATGAGTAACAGGTAGCCTTAGATGCAGGGCCCTGACCTTGTAGGGAAAGGACCACAGACACACCTAGATTAGAGAGGGAACAGGAAGGAGCTACAAGGAACTGGAGGAGGGAGTGAGGTCTTCAGATCACCATGGGGAGCTGGGACTTGTCTTATGGGGATTTGTAAATAAGGGAAGGTGGAAAGGAGTTACATGAGTGAAAGAAAAGAGTTCAGAGACTCAGATGCCAAAATACAAGGCTGGTCTGGGAAGGATAAATGGGCTACAAACACTACTAAGGAGAGTCCTTGGGAAGAGGGGGGGCGGTCCTGAGCTATCCAGGTACATGATGAAAAGGAAAGCAAATTCCTAGCCAAGGGAATGAGGTTTGCTTCGTGGACAAGTAAACATCAGGGACCATTCTGGAGTCAAGAATGTTCTTCTGGCAGTTCTTAACATGGTCACCCTAGCAGGCTCCAATCTACCCTGTGTGCTCCATTCTTGTGGAGAATACAGTCTATCCCCGATTCCCTACAGCTTCACCCCTGTCTTGGTCCTACTTGGTGTGGCACTATAAAAAGCCAGCATGACCCTCTGTCCTGATGCTGAAGGACTTTGCTACTCTTGATGACAGTCATGGATGATATGTCCTCCTGTGTGGCTTCAGGGTGGAGGCAATATCTCAGAGCAGGCCTCTGAGAACATGGTTCTATTTTCTCATCCTCCAATGGCCCCCATTTGAATACAGACAATATGTTAACATCTCTGCTCAAGTGTGTGGGTCAGAACAAAATAATCGTTCAAAATTGGTTAAAGAACAGCCAATGGCCGTAGAAGGCTATTATAGGAAACCAGGATGGAAAGCAGTATCAGTGTCCAATTCAAAACATGAAAACAGCCACAGTTGGGAACATCCACCAAAGTGGTGGCAGAAGGAAGGACGAAGAAGTTCAGGGAGAAGTGGAAGAGGGGCTGGAAGAATACTAAGGCAACATCTGAGCCAAAATCACTAGCCCATGTTAGTTCAGTGATGCTCTTCCAAATATGAAGTGGGTAGACGCCAGTAACCGGGTGAAAAGTGGACAACTGTGATGGGAAATATAAAAGGAATGCAAAGATTACAACTTACGTCAGATGGAAGGTACATATATGGAGCATTTACTGTGGGCCAAATGTGCATTCCAGTCATTTTACATTACTTCGCAAAGAAGCCTTGAACAAACATGGCCATGTTACAGATGAGGAAACCAAGGAATTGGGAGAATCTGGAAAGGACTTCTTGTAGATGGAGTTGGAGTGAGGTTTCTGGGATTTTCTTCTGGTTTTCCTCCAGCACCAAAAGAATGCTCCATTCCAGATCGGTTTGTTCCCATTCTGCCTTACATTCAGTATCAGATCTGCCACAGTCTCTCAGGGCCAGAAAGGAGACAAAATCGAGACACAGTGAGGTTGCCTGGGCTCTAATAGCAAAGCGCTAGCTCTGAATTCAGAAATAATCAGAGCCCAGTTTGGTCAGTGGCACTGGGGTAATACATGTCCTAAAGAGTCCTGCTTTCTTAGCCTCTCAAATGGCATGGATTTACATTGAAGTCCTGAGCTGTCCTGCAATAAGCACGGGTTCTACTTTCTGCATTTGAGGCTTTCAAACACAAAACCTTGCAGATATAGAGATGTTGTCACTCACAGGTTCTAGCTCTAGCTCGGAGGCTGTACCCCAGCCACCTCCAGTATCAGGTTCTTATAGCCTACACCTACTTGATTTAAATACTCAGAGATAGGCATCAGACAACTGAGGGCAGCCCATGAGCTCCAAAGAATGGTACAAACTAACTTCCACTACCCCTGTTCCTCTTCCTCCTTCTTTCTCACAATCCCTCTGCCTCACCCTCCTTACTGACATTCCTTCCTTCCATGGTTCATTCAGTGGTAAGGAGCAACAGTTGTAAGGAACAAGGGCCCACCTCTCATTCATGATCTCATCCAGCATCCAACACCAACATCAAATGGAGCTATCTCCCAGTCTCCATGGGATGCATGCTTTTCGGCCTCCAGTTCTAGTTTACCCCTTCTGACAGTCCACTGAATTGGGAAGGATGGTTTTCCTCACCCTAATTTTAAATTAGAAATGATTGATGCCTAACATGGCTGTGGTAGCTGATTCATGACCATATACCTAAAAGCAGAAAACAAGATATCCCTTCTGGTACATTCTTATTTCTATTCCATCATCATCAGGGTACCCATCCTCGCCACCCATGGTGGATACTGTTCATGGCAAAGTCCTGGGGAAGTATGTCAGCTTAGAAGGATTCGCACAGCCTGTGGCCGTCTTCCTGGGCATCCCCTTTGCCAAGCCTCCTCTTGGATCCCTGAGGTTTGCTCCACCACAGCCTGCAGAGCCCTGGAGCTTCGTGAAGAATGCCACCTCCTACCCTCCTATGTAAGCCGCTGGGGTGGGCCTGGGTCTCTTTCAATGGGATATCTGCCTCAGAGAGCTGTCAGAAAGAGTTGAGATGGTTCTCTGACTGATTACACTTTGTTTATGTATCCTTAACATACTGTAAGATCTCAAAGACAGTCCATAACTGTTAAAGTGTCCTAGAGTCTTTTATCTGTTGTGCACCTGTCATATTCCGGACATAGTCTAGGTTCTGATAATGCATCAGTGAACAAAATAAAGATCTCCTACCTTCATAGAGTGTGTATTCTATAAGAGAGACAGACAGACAGAGAATAACTGCAAAGCAAGAAAATAAATTTTGTGGTATTATAATGTTTAATGATCCACTCATTGGATTAAAACGCTGATAGGAAGACAAGACGCAGGGATCCTATATCTCCTGTCTTTAACTTTTCATGGATGAAGCTGCTAGTATTGGAGGTTAATGGAATTTTCCCAGGGAGCTGCCCTGAAAAGATTCCTCCTAGGGTTCTAGGAAAGATGCTACAACAGATAGCATCTGAGGGAAAATTTATTTTCTTGCTTTGCAGTTATTCTCTGTCTGTCTGTCTCTCTTATAGAATACACACTCTATGAAGGTAGGAGATAGCATCTGAGGGAAAAGAATCTATGTACACCATGCTCTTTCATCTGTGACTTTATTTCTCTAAGACAAAATTCTATCTATATAGCTTTAGCTCCGTCCTCACATACAGCTCCTCTCTGTACCTATGGGGTTTGCCTATCATAGTCCTAACTAAGCTCCTATGCTTTTGACCTCATCTTCGTCCTCTGTTCCTTCATCCTCCATCTTTCCTTCCTTGCTCCTTACCCCCGGCTCTGAGAAGCTCTGCCTTCCTCTCTTCTCTCCAGCCACATAGCTCTGCCTACCATCTATCAAAACTGCTTTGTCCTTTCTCTCTTGGCTATATGACTCTGCTCTGCCCAGGAATCCTACCCCATCCTTCACTCCACCTGGATATGCAAAAACCTCCTTTGTTCCGAGTCATTGTTCTGGAACGCCATTTCCCTGTCTGGGGAAGGGAGGTCTGAGCTTCATTTGCACAAGAAACAAGTTATGCATCTACAGCCCACATATCTCCTAGGCCCTGCAGGAGTGTTACCTAGTGGATCAGCAGTAGATCTGAGAAACTAAACTGTTTGCCAAATGGGCACACAAGAATTTCATAGCAGAAGACAGCTGATATATATTAATAAGCTAAATAACACTAAATATTCCTTGATACATGGCTTCCTCTTGAAAGACACCTTGATCAGTCAAGGTATAGCTTATTATTTCAGCTGAATCTCCGTAATATTTTCTTGCAGCTCGCTGCAGGGAGTGAAATGTTGTGAGTGCTGCAGCTGAGCCCAGAAGCTCAGGGTGCCCAGGTAGCCTCTTGAGTAAGGTACCTAGCTTTTACCCTTCCCTCCTCCCTTTCCTCCCTCTCATTATCTCAACTTTATAGTTGGGTGGTGTTCTCACGTGGTATCCCTTGAGCTTTTGCCTTTTTTTCAGTGTCTCCATGATAAGCTTTTGTTTTGTAGTCACTGGGGAGCTTACAGCAAACACCCTATGCTTACAGTATTAACCTGACAGGACCCCACCTTCGACCACAAAGCAAACTAACACTCTAAATTTCAACTCTTTCCTTCCACTTTGAATTTTTGATCTCATATTTTTTGTCTTGCATATTACTACCAAATTCAATAGATATCATTTTTATTAAGTAAAATAGTTTTGTCACTTTAAAGATAGGTGTGAATACTTAGCATGATTATGGTGCTAGTACAATTGGAACTGTTTCTGTGTCTACTGCGAGTGAAGGTTAACAATCCCTGTTATTACATGTTGTCTTCTATTTGGAAACTCAAGTAGTTCTTGTATGGTGGAGCTGATAGCAACAAATTCCTTCCCCTTTGTTTATCCAGGCATAAGAGAACTACTTTATGTGTTACTTGCTTTTCTTACTGTGTTTTTTTCTTTTACCTTTGATTGTTGAGTTTGTTTATAATATGTCATAGGTGATCTTTTTGGGCTTGAACTTGTGACATTTGGACCCTGGCATCTCCCTCCAGGCTGAAACAATCTCCATCATCCTCCTTGAATATGCTTCCTTGCTGTTTGTCAACTGTCTCCAATAACCCCCATGCTTGCTCCTTTGATGTTTCTAATGGCTCTCATAAGTTTTCTTCCTTTATCCACATTTGTTTCTCACTGTGTGTACTTTCAAATAGACTGCCTTGGGACTGCAGCTCGGTGGCAAAGAGTTTGCTTAGCAAGTTCAAAAGCCCCTAGCACTATAAAAACGACAAAATGGGAGCATCAAAAGGCCTGCCTTCAAGCACCAGTTTACTGCCTGGTGCCTTTGCTGTTGGCTCATTTTTCATTTCATTCATTGCAGTTTCCAGCTTCAGCATTCCTGTTTGATATTTTTTAACATTTAGTCTCAGTGTTAAATTTCTATCATGACAATATCAACTCTATCTGCTAACAACAAGCAATTAGAAATATCTCTATATAGACAACTTTACTCCTTTCCAAACAAAATTTCTATGATGAACTTATGAGTCATTTCTTTGTGTTCCCTTGAAGTCTGTTGTTCTTCCTTAAAACAAACAGGGGAAAAAAATGGCTGTTTGGAGTCAGCTCTGGGAGATCCCACATCCCTGTCATTGTGGGGTCTGTCTCTGGTGCCCTATTTTGTATACTTATTGAGGTTATTTTGTCCTGAATGTTCCCGATACATGTGGTCATTGTACAATATCTACACATTGAAGGCCCAAGTGTCTACTAGTCTCTGCAGTCATTTTTGTTACCTAAACTCTCTAAGAGTAGATTGGATGCTGTGTTCCTTAAGCTGGTGACAATTGTACCCACAATGACCCAGGCTTACTGTGAGTCCTAAGGTTTTCCAGATGAGCTGGACCCAGAGCACATACGAGGAGAATTCCAGGACTGCATGACTATGCTTCCCCATGAATTCAAGCCTGGAAACATGCCCCAGTGGCCAGGCAAGGATATCCCCCAGAACTTCCCCACATGGAGGAAACAGATGCCTACTGCAGCTGGAGCCAGGACTGGGCCACCTCAGTATCTGTGTGAGGTAGATGCTGGAGACTCTGCCTCATTGGATCTGATGGGTGTCCATCCCCCTGCAGTGACCTGAACAGACATGGTAGCTGTTTCATTACAAGAATAAGGCCTAGTGGATGTTAGGTTCCCTTTGGATCTGATGTGTAGCCTCTGCATGGTCTTCATGGGGTCCCAGGATTCTTGCCAGGACTCCCAGGTAACTTCCTACCCACAGCATAGTCTCAAGCCTAGTAATAACACAATTTGTGAGCTTAAATCACCTAGTAGAAAGCCCTTCCCAGGCTGTATTTGACTCTCAGTTCTTTCTCCCCTCCTCAGGTGCTCCCAAATTACAGGGGTGGGGCCAGTGCTCTCCGATGTCTTCACCAACCAACTGGAAAATGTTCCTCTAGAGTACTCTGAAGACTGCCTTTACTTAAATATTTACTCCCCCGCTGACCTGACAAGCAAAGGCAAGCTGCCGGTGAGCTCTCAATGGAAGTCGGCACCCTGGGGCTTCAGCATCCTGGATTTTCCAGTGCAGTTTAGAGGGGGTGAAGGATGCTGGCAGTACAGGTATTGTCAGCCAGGCCTCTGACTTTCCTTGACCACGGGAACATTTGTTCTGTACTTCAGTTTTCCCCGGTGATACTAGCCATGTGTGAGAGACTGCAGTGAATCTGGAAGTACATCCTAATTCTTCTGTGTTCTCTCACAAAAGTGTTAGGAAAGCAATGGTGGTTGTCTTAATTCCTGTTTAAGTGTCTGATCCCTGAGGAATTAAGACATAATTTCCTGTCAAGTCAGAAGTGGAAAGAATCCAGACCCCAACACTCACCTAGTTCCACTTTTATTGATAGAGCAACCAAAGAGAAGATGGAGGGAAGCTGTAACTTAGGGTTGATGGACCCAGGACTTGGGTCCCCTGACCTTCAAACCTTTTAACATGGACTTGGAAACCACACAAGCATGTGGCCTTCCAAGAACACCAGGTTCCATCTGTGAAAACTTTGATGGTTCCATGACGAAGGTGTGTGGGACGAAGCCTGGGATAATCCCAGAAGCATTTCCTTTGCCAAACATCTGGGACTTCACCATAATTTGTTTCTCTCCTTAGTTGCCTTTGGCAAGGACTAATGACCCAATGAGTCAGCATTTCCATATAAACAAAGGCCCAGAGATGAGGCAGGCTGCTAGTTACAAGTCACAGGATGGAGGTCTTCTGGAGAGGGTGACCCTTGGGACGGAAGATACCACATAGCTTCTTCAGTTTGTCATTTCCCACCAGTCTTTGCACTCAGCCTTCACTCTGAGATGACCTTGCCTCAGTCCTTCCCTCGAGGTGGCAGGGGCCCAGAAGGAGGAGAAACAGGAGACGGATGTAGGAGTCTAAAGGCAGGAGATGTTCCAGCTGTGGACACAGGTCCTAGAGAACAGAGTCTGAATTAATCCCGGGAGTGTCTTTGAGAAGATGAGAGACCAGGCTATTTCTAACTTTCTTACCCTCTGTTTCCTCGAACGGGTACCATTCCATTTGAGCACGCAGTGTTGACTTTCAAGCTGTGCTTCAGTCCTGGATGAGCGTCACACACGAGGCAGCAAGAGCATCTGCCCTTTACCCTAGTAGCCCCGATCGCTAACTCACTCAGCTCCCGCTGTGGGCTATGGAAGTTAGGGCTTGAGTCAAGCCTTGCCTCCACGTCTCATGAGCTGCGGAACCTCAAGCAGACTGCCTGTCTGTTATGTGGATAGGTTATTTTAAAGTACTTTGAACAGTAATAAGTCCACAGTTCATGAGTTCTTTTATATTTTATTAGCAATGTTACAGTATTTTATCCTTTTAGTTCTTCCTTGAAATGTGACCTTGGGAGCCATTAAGCAGAAATTGTACCCACTCCCTTTTATCACAGGATAAAAGCAGCAACTTGTGGGTGGTAGGCTCTCAGGTAAAGTCAGTATCTAAAGACTTCTTAGAAAGGTAGATGGTAGATAGGCTTAGGAGACAGGGAGGTTTGAGGAAGGCTAAGGGCAGACACCTTAGGAAGGGGCACGCACCACTAAGAACATGTGTACTTCTTGAGACCGTATTTCAGTCACAGGGAAAGTTAGCTCACCGCTGCACTGAGGTGAGGCCAAAAGGCAAGCACCGTCCCTTGTTATGTCCAGACTGAGATGGGTGGTGTGCTGGGGAGAAAACGACATCCATCCTTGGCTTTTGCTGTTCCCATCATAACATTCTCGGTTGGAAGACCCACTGAAAGACAGGGTCCTTGAGACTGGAGAGAAGAGAAACGACATTGAGTAACTAGGCAGCACTGAGGGGCATTGTGGTCTGGGACCCAGCTTACAGAGTTGGGAAGGACAAAGGCCTTTGTAGCCATGACAGACACCCGTGGCCTTTGGATAATGGCTTCCTTAGTCATAACCAGACATAACCAGAAACAGGAGATCAAATGTCTTTCCTTCTCTACTTCATATAACCTGAATGGTTTCTTGATGTCTGTCCAGGTGATGGTGTGGGTCCATGGAGGTGGTTTACTGTCTGGTGGGGCATCAACTTTTGATGGACTGGCCCTGTCTAGCCACGAAAAAGTGGTGGTGGTAGTCATTCAGTACCGCCTGGGCATCTGGGGATTCCTCAGGTAAGATATTGGACCTTTTCCACATTACATTAACACCCCCTTATCAGGACACTAGGACCCATCCCTGGTAATTTCATCTGTGTTCCTTAAAGCATCTATATTTCTTCAGTTTAGACCCCTCCTATCCTCTCTTTCTTCAACCACACTTGTTCACGTGCTCTGGGCTTTTGTGTATTCTGTTCTCTCTGCCTGGAAGACCTGTTTCTAAAGGCATTCACCTTTCAAAGCCTAGCTTTTACTTTATCAGTAAAAGCTGATATCTGAAACACGTGTCTCCTTTCACCTGGGCTGCCCAGCACACGGCATTCCCGACAGCAGTCCCTGACCAGCACAGAATCTCAGTGTTGCACATCTCCTCCTGGGACAGGAGGCACAGAGGAGTTCAGAGAATGCTTGTGTTGTCAAGCAATGAGTGGTTGGGGTGGATGGAAGCTGTCAGAGGATCTGATCCAGGAAACAGTGTTCCCTGGAGAGTGTTAGAAGACACGCAGCTCACTTCCTTCCTAGCATCTGGCACATGCAAGAGTCCAGGCTAGAGTCTCCATCAACTCTGTGAGGTCAGGACCGGGTTTTCTGCACTATAGCATTGGGAGCCTTTCTTGCATATTCCCTACAGCTCTGAGATGGTTGCTAAATCGTCTAGCTGAGTTGCAGCCACCACTGAGGAGACTGTGGAGCTGGAAGATGGCTCTGGTCTGCCTCTCAGCTGGTTGCTTTAGGCTTCTGCCTCAGGAACGAATGCATCACCATTTAAGGTACCATGTCTCTTTCCCTGGTTTCTGTTTTGCTACTTTCTATTTCATTCAGCCTGCCACAAGTGGTCCTCTACCTCCTCTCTCTCTCTTTCTCTCCTCCACCTATGCCTGGCAGGCTGTGCTTGCTGAAGCCACCAATGACCTCTCTTCTCCCCAGTACAACTTTCTGACCCCTCAGTAGCAGCCCGGTGAGCACTCGTGCTTCTGAGCTGCTTCTGGCCCTTGGCCACCTTCCACCTCCTTGACTGCTCATGCTCAGCCCTTTCTTGCTCCTTCCCTCTGAATCCTCAGGCCTCTCTACCTCCCCATCCCTGTCCAGTAATTCCCAGAATTCCCCACTATGGTGGTTAGAATGAGAAATGGCTCACATAGGCTCATATATTTGAATGTTTGGTCCCCCATTAGTGGAACCATTTTTGAGAAGGATTAAGAGGTATGACCTTATTGGAGGAGATATATCACTGGAAGTGGGCTTTGAGGTTTCAAAAGCCCATGACCGCGCCCCCATCTTCCACTTGTGAATATGATGTAAACTCTCAGTTACTACTCCAGTGCCATGCCTCTTTGCCAGCTGCCACACTTCCTACCTTAACAGGGACTGGCCCTCTGAAACTGTAAGCAAGTCTCCAACTGTATCTTTCTTTTATAAGTTGCCTTGGTCATGGTGTCTCTTCACAGAAATAAAACAGTAGCTAAGACACCTGCCTCTCTTAAAGCCAAGATACCATCTTTAACTGTGTCCTCCTGTCTCCCTGGATGTCTCCCTAGTACCACCTTACTTCACAGAGACAGTGTGAACCCTTGACAACTACATAGAACACAAAATCTCACTTCCTGTTTTCATAAGGCCCTCTGTGAAGCTGTATTCAGTTTTATACTTTTAATCGTTCATAATAAAGTCCCTGTGAAAGTCTAGACTCTTCTTTATCTCATGCCCCATACCTTCATGGCCCACAAACTTCCTAGCTCTACCCTTCAAATACTGTCACAGCCCAGGTATTCATTTATTCCTTGCTTCTACCAAGATCAAAGCCCTGTGTCTCTGGCCTACATTACTGTAGTGACCATTAGTCTTCTCTCTTCTTCTTTCCTGTGATGGCTGCTCCACATTGGGCCAGAGTGCTTGTCTAAGACACTCATCCACAGAGGACCCCCACCTTCCTAACATAGTTCTTATGTTTGGAGATGCTGCCAGCCAGGAGTAAAACCCTGAGATAGCTTTAGGTGGGAAGTCCAAGAAGAAGTCTTGAGTTCTTTCCTTGAAGTCATCATACCTTAGAAGGCCTCTGTGCCTGTGGTAGATGGTCTCCTGATAATCTGCCTCCTGCAAATCTTGTTAGCAAGTGATTTTTTGGCTCTACCCATAAATGCATTGTCTCTGTTCCTTCTCTCTCATGTGATAATTTCCCGTAAATTTCTAATCTGTTTCCCTTTGATCTTCAACCTCACTGAAAATCTCACTACCAGCCGTCAATGATGTCCACACTGTGTCCTGAAGGCCTTGCTGTTCAGAAATTGTTTCCACCATGTCAAGTGCTCCATCATTCTTAATTTTAGCCTCACCTAAAGTTTTAGGGCATGGGTGTGTCTTGGCCAAGTTGTCTGCAGAGATGCACAGAGTATTCCTTATTCTAATCAGTTTGCACCTGAGTCATCTATAGCACAACACATACAGTACTTCAGGCTGACGAACTTGCTCCTACAAATCCTTTAGACCTTTCCCAAAGCCACTTTCATCTTTTCTAGTACAGTTATGTCAGCAGACCAACTCCTCGGTACCAATATTCTGTATCAGGCTACTTTCCATGAATGTAGCAAATACCTGTAGCATAGTATTTTGTAAAATCTGAGTTTGGGCTGCAGAAATGACTCAGTGATTAAGAGTGAATACTGATCTTGCAGAGGACCAAGTTCAATCCTTAGCACCCACACTGGGCAGCTGACAATTGCCTGTGACTCCAGCTCCAAGGAGATCACATGTGTCTGGCTTCTGGCAGGCACCAACATCCTCACAAGAGCGCACACACACACACACACACACACACACACACACACACACACACACACTTAAAAATAACACAAATTTAAATTTTTAAGCGAAGCTTATTTATCACCCAGCTTCAAAGGCTGAAAGTCCAAGCAGCAGGGTGTCAGCTGTGACAAAAACCTCTGGGCAGTGTCACATTAAGGCAGCTGGTATTGTGGCAAAGGGGAATCTCAGGAAGCCAGCGAGCAAGTGAAGGCCAGGCTCGGTCTTCTATAACTTTTTCATAAGAACTAACCAGAATGCTACTGGAACTACATCCATCCTAGTGTCCTCAATAGACCAACCACCTAACAGTGGACTCCTCCTCTTAAAGGTTAGATCACCTCCCAACACCCCCATATTGAAGACCAAACTTTAAACATATGAAACACTGAGGGACGATCCACACGTAGCCATGGCCAGCTCTCGACCCGTCCTAGCCCACCTATGGCCTCTCTGACTCCTACTCTTACCCTTCTCTTACAGCACAGGAGACGAACACAGCAGAGGGAACTGGGGTCACTTTGACCAAGTATTTGCCCTACAATGGGTCCAGAACAACATTGCTAACTTCGGGGGGGACCCAGGCTCTGTGACCCTCTTTGGCGAGTCGGCAGGAGGGGAAAGTGTCTCTGTCCTTGTAAGTATTCCTGGCACCAAGCCCCATGTCCAGGGTTGATGTGGCTGCTGACGAGACCTCTTGAAGACTATTCAATCCAGCCACAGGCACTTTGGCTGACAAGACCCAGATTCAGACTGACTCATGGCTCACCATCAGGCAGTGGAGAAATAAAAACCAGGAGCTCCCAAGCTCAGACCTCAACTTTGTGTCCTGGAGGCAAAAGACCGTGCTGCTGAGCCTGGGACCGTGGCAGTCCTAGCCTTCTCACTGAGTTCTCGATCCCCTTCCTAATCATCTTAGCTTTGCCACTCACCTGACTTGGGGGTGGGTGTGACGTACAAATACACAGATGCTAAATGGTCAGTAGAAGGTCACTGGTCGGCTGGAAACCAGATTCACAGGTATAGAGAAGGTTAGCCCTGAAGGAAGACAGGGTTTCCTCTGAGGCTGTCCTGTGGCTTGGTCATGGCTAGGGGAGTGGGCAGCAGTCTCTGGGCCTAAGGCACCGTGCTTTAGGGGAAGTCAGTGAGAGCAAGAAAGAGCAGAAGGCTAACAGAGAGGGTAGGAAAGGGGGAGGAGTCTACGGCCTGCAGGCGCAGGTGCAAATGATCTTGTTAATATAGAAATGGGGCACATCGAAGGGAACTGTAGCAGGCACCGGGAGCTGTTCAGAACCCTCCGGCCACCTCAGAGTTGGGTAGATCAGCCCCATTATCCTTTAAACATGTATCCATTTCACAGCTGAATACTCACAGGATAATATTTTCTCTTTTTAAAGTAAATTTAAAAAGCGAGAAAAAGAACAGATAAAGCCAGAGGAGAAAGAAGTCATCCATGATCCCGCCCTCCAGACATTGTCACTGTGGCGTCTTAACCTGTATTTCCTTTGTCTTTTTCCTACAGTTCTAGCTCTCTCCCTGGCCTCTGTTTATCATCTACCTAGCCTGTCTCTGTCTCTTGTATGTATCACACAGCTTTTTAAGAAAAATTTTTTTCAGTATTAGACTGCCATAAAAACTCCCTAAATGCTAAATGCCTTTCCTTAATACTTGTGTTTACTACAGCATAGTGTTCTATGGCAAGCATAAAACATCATTTATTACCCAGGATTACAACATTAGAGCCTTATGTGGTCTCTCAGTTTTACTATCATATACACCCTGAATTTTATTTATTTCTATTTTATTTATTTTGTATTTGTTGGTTTTTATAAAATATTTTTGACACAATGTATTTTGATCATATTCTTTCCCCTTCCTCAACTCTCCCCACATCTCCTCCCCTCTCTAATCACCCAACTCTATGTTCTTTTTTCTCAAAAGAGAAAAAAAACAAAAATCAAAGCAAATAAGCAAAACAAAACAGAAAATACAAACAACACCAAAACAAAACAACACTAAAAAAGCACACACAAAAGTCATGCAGTCCACTCTGTGCTCGCCAACTACTGCTGAACGTGGGGCCTGCCCTGAGTGATACACACTTGATATATATCGGGTGTCATTCCATTGGAGAGGCTGATTTTAGCCGTCCCAGCAGCTTTCCACTGTGCATAGCTTGATTGAAGTGGGACATTGTGCCCACTTTCCCTTCTCTGTGCTCAGACTTGGTCTAGCGTGAACTTGTCAGTGCTATGAGTTTTCTTTTTAAGAAAATTTGTGTTAAAATAGAAGATTTATTGTATCTAAATTCTTCCTAATTGCTTTCATTACTTATTTTGCTTTTGAAATTATAATAAAATGACATAATTTCTCCCTTCCCTTCTCTCCCTCTGTAGCATGAATTGTTAGAAGGTTTTATTAATAAAATCAAACCCGCAGCAAGGTATTGGGGTGAATACTGGAAGATCAGAGAAGCAGAACAGGCCACAGCCACCTCATCTTGCCAATTCCTCAACTGATCCTGTTTCCTCAGACTGGAAGCCTCTGAGTCCTCATCCAAATGGATCTCAGCTGAACTGCTGCTCAAAAACCTGAAAGCTTAACCAGCTATAGTTCCTCATCCTCACGCCTTAAATACCTTTCTGCTTCCTGCCATTACTTCTTGGGATGAAAGGCATGAGTCACCATGCTTGATTGTTTTCAGTGTGACCTTGAACTCACAGAGATCCAGGCAGATCTCTGCCTCTGGAATGCTAGAATTAAAGGCGTGTGTTACCACTGCCTAACCTCTATGTCTAATATTGTGGCTGTTCTCTTCTCTGACCCCAGATAAGTTTATTAGAGTGCACAATATTTTGGGGAACACAATACCACCACATCCCTCCAAACCCTCTACCCCTCTTGGCTCTTTTTCAAACTAATGGCTGAGCTGGAGAGATGGCTCAGCCATTAAAGGCTAGGCTCACAATCTAAAGTATAAATACATAAGAGTTCAAATTAGTGGCCTCTTTCATTAATTGTTTTTGCATGAATATATGTACATGATGTATATATACATGTATATACATGTACATTCCTAAATACAACCTGTTCATTCCTTATGATGTTACTTGTGTGTATGTTTTCAGGGCTGACTATTTGACACTGGACAACCAATTAATGGACTCTCCCCTGTAGAAGACTATTTCTTCCACTCTCAGCATTCCTTAGCTCCCCCTAGTGCTTTGTGTAGCACTGAGGCCTCATGGTCTTTCCACTGTCCACTTTGGCATGGCTATTGTTGTTGTCCTGGTTCAGCTCACGTTTACGCAGTCGTGTTGATGAGACATTACAGGAATTGCTTCTGATGTTACTAGAAGATAGAGTCTCAGGCAAGCTCCCTGATCTTAAAATCTCTCCACCTCCTTCTGCGCACTCTTCCCTGAGTTTTAGATTCCAGAGATGTTTTGTAGATGTATCCACTGGGACTGGGCTCCAGAAGCCTGCATTTGATTGACTATAGTTTTCCATAGTGGTCTCTGTTGAAAAGTTTCTGCTCTCTATTTTCACTTAAGACCTTGTTTGGTTGGTTGGTTGGTTTTGGTTTTTTGCAAGACAGGGTTTCTCTGTTAACCCTGGCTGTCTTGGAACTCGCTCAGTAGACCAGGTTGGCCTTAAAAGCACAGCTCTGCCTTCCTCTGCCTCCTGAGTGCTGGGATTAAAGGCCTGTGCCACCACTGCCCTGCTAAAACCTTAACAAAAGGGAAATCATGCCTGGTACTGGAAACCTAGCCAACTACCCAGGGCTTGTGAAGTCGTGGACCTTGGAAGAGAACTATCCCTTTACTAAAACAGTACAATCCCTAATTACATTCTAAATATCTGTCCTTATATCCACAGATAAGTATACTCATCAAGGAAATGTCTTGAAATTTTTCTATGGATGCTCATTATCATTTTTCCCAGAACACTTTCTGAGTAATAGAGACACTGAAACAGAATTTGTAGTTAGGAACTGCAAAACCTTTCCTTCCAGTGTTTTTTGGCTGTCATAAGTGCATGCCACATACTCCCTACTCTATTCCTGGCTCTGAGGAAAGCTGGGGGGCAAGTGGAGACAGGGAAGGAGCTGTCACATTTGCTGAAAACCAAAGTCTCCAGGCAAGGGGCACACGAGGAAGGAACCTTACAAGGTGAGCAAGTCACTGGCCATCTCCCTTGAGCATAATTCTCCTCCCTCTTCCTTCCCAGGTTTTATCTCCCCTGACCAAGAACCTCTTCCACAGGGCCATTTCTGAGAGTGGTGTGGCCCTCACTCCATGTCTATTCAGGGAGAATACCAGGCGTGGGGCTGAGGTAGGTCACCTGGGAGGCCCATTTTAAGATCCTCAAGAACCTTCAAGGAAGTTTCCTGCTGTGTGATCTAGGTGATATGTCCAAGTATTGAAAGAACAATAGAGACCTCACTCATTCTCTCAGTTTCTAGCTAGGAAACTGTATCAGAATGTGGCCATGATTTATCAAGGTCACCAAGTGATCAGGGTCAAGCTGAGACTCAAGCTCCAGACAGTGGACTGCCAGCTCAGTGTAATGAGCACTGAACACACTGATCAAGTGTACCAAGGCAGACTACTACACTGGACAGTGATCAGTGGCCTGTAATTACACATGTTTTTGTCAGAATCTGAGTTCTAGTGCTCTGCATGTGGTTTATGAATTTGGGATAATTATTCCTCCCTGAGGCCCTGGTAGCCAGGGGTTGGTTTCTAGAATATGTGTTCATTGGTTCATTCATGTGTGTGTGTGTGTGTGTGTGTGTGTGTGTGTGTGTGTGTGTGTGTGCTTTGTAACTTAGAAAGCATCCATTCTTGTGAAGGAGATTGATTTTTTTTAATTGTGTGATCAAACAAATGGCACTATTTCAACAATGAGAAGATGTATAAAGGAAAGAGAATAACCAAATCTTAGGAAATCACAAGACTCCAAAAGGAATGTTTAATGAGAATGTGACTGGTAAGTCAGCAGAAAGATCAGAAAAAAAAAAGAGGCATATTTACCCAGTGAGCAAAGGATATCCCAAGAAGGAACAGCATGTGCAAATGTCCTGTGCAAAGGGGAATCATGTGTGAGGGAGTGAGGGAAGGCTGATGTGGCCAAAGCAGACAGAATGAGCAGAGAACAGAATGAGCCAAGGATCTCTTACTTTTGATTATGCACGTAGCCCATGCTTACCACCGTCAACTTGTATCCATTTGTGCCTCCTCCTCCAGCCGGTTCACTTCCAGGCCACATGGGTACCACGCCTGCCACTGAGATTACAAACTGCCCCTTGGTCCAAGAGCAGTAGCTCTGTTCTGTGATTTGGGGGAACAAAGAGTATTTTTGCGTTGGCATTTCTTTGTAACAGTGGGGTATGAAATCAAAAGGTAGTATTCGGGATTCTGTGCTTTTTAGCCACCATTGCCCACAGTCATTCTCAAAATGGTCAGCTTTCAGATAACCATACCATGTCATCAGAGAAATGGCAACTAAGTCACAAACGTGTAAGTGACTCATGTCACAATCCAAGTTGGTAAACAAGGAGTGCTGCTTAGCCCAGAGCCTTCACCTGCTGGCCACTTTCTGTGACCACGTCCCACAACAACGATCTTGAGATAGCCCTTCTCTCTGTGTTCACGGAGGGCAGAGACGATGCCATTTAACTCTACGGTTGCCTGTGATCTCTGCAGCAAGTCGCCCTTGCTACAGGGTGTGAGGCCACTACATCAGCCGATATAGTTCGCTGTCTGCGTGAGAAGACAGAGGAGGAACTCCTGGCAACGACACTGAAAATGGTAGGTGTGTCTGTTTCCGTGGCCCCCACACTGCTGTCCTAGGTGTGGTGGCCCTCATGCCCTGAGCAAACTATGTGGGTCCTTTCAGGGACAGTGTCAGCCTTCTGATACAAGTTAGTTTTTTTTTTATTGTGAAATAGTTTCAGTGTCAAAAATGTCCAAAATTAACTTTTTGAAAAAAATAAGTTGTATATGATTAACAATACCCCAGCTTTATCAAAACAATCATTTTAGCATTATTATAGGTGCATATATAGGTGTTCTAATAGATTAAGCATTTTCTATTCACAGAAGTAACAACCATTTTAAATTTTAGGACTTGAGATACTACGCACAATGGTTTTCAGAAGTGCTACAATTTGTCTAACAGTTGGTTAATTAACTTTAGCAAATAGAACTTTGCAAGTATTTTTCCTAATTTCTATCTTTTCCTCTACTTTTTCTTTAAGTATGTAATCAGGAGGAATCCAGAATGGAGATAGTTAATAAGGAAAAGCAAAAAACTATCAATTATAAGTTAGTAGTGTTATGATTCTAGGGTAATCATACATTCATCCATTCATTCATCTACCCATCCATTGTCCATTTATGCAGCCGTTAATCTATCTATTCAAACATGATGTACTTCCACAAATGCAATATCAACTCATCTATAGTGCTTCATTTATCCTTTCTTGACCATTTTAATACCTATGCATTATCCAGCTCCTGTTTATGTATACCCCACAATCCATTCCAACAAAACAATAATCTATTATCAATTACCTCTATGAATGAATTCATCAGATTCACCAATATGCAGTGTGCCATATGACCACCCATCCATTCAGATGTCTATCCAGGTACCTAATGGGTGAGATTCATTACACCCAGCTAAGATTCGTGAAAGGAGGGTGACACAGAAGACGGATGATCACGATGCTCTGTTATCACAGGGAAGCTTGTCAGAACAAACACCAAGAAAACACAGCATCTGGGGCCATGTGACCTATTCCTTGCATTGGGAAGGTGTGAGTGCAAAGTCAGAGGAACGTGAAACTTTGACTCCCCTGTCCCTTGGTCTTGCTTTCATTCCTTCTCAGCCCTAAATGCTGGAAGATACTACTGGACCCCATAACATCCCATTAGCATGGGGCACTGCCCGGATGTCCTGGCATACCAGGTTCTCATAAAATGATCCAACAAGATATAATGGATTTCTAAAGCTTAGAGACAGATGTTTCAGTGATTCTCCTGGTGACACAAGAAGAAATAAAATATAAGAAAAAGTAGGCACACTGAGAGTATGGACTCCAGAGCTAGGGTCTGTCTCTTTGTTTTTGCCTATTCTGCCTTGTCTTACTCCATCATCTTGTGCTTGTGTGCAGTAGAGCTCAAGTCTTCCCACACTGGGCCAAGCCAAGGAAGACCAAGACAGAGAACCTCACAACTCAGGAGTGTAGCTAGAGGTCAGTCTTTGTAGAGGGAGGTCTGTTCACCACATCTTCTGCCTTTGTCTTCACAGAAATTCTTTGCTCTTGATTTGCTTGGAGACCCCAGAGAGGTAAGGATCACTGCTTTTCCATTACAGGTGCTGAGTCTTAACACTTTTAAGCTCCAAGTAACTATGAAGCCCAGAGTTCTCCTTGTGAAATGGTAACTATACTCTACGGGCATGTTGCAGGGGCCCAGAGAAGGTAGTCACTTGCCAGAGTAATGTAGCCAGCAAAACCACACTCAGTGCTGTTCTTCACAGCGAGTGTGCCCAATAAACAACTCAGTCTCCTGGGCTCTGGTATCCCCTTCTCATCTACCTTTCCTGCTCACAATATGATCCTGTAAGAGGAGGGTACACTAGAACCTTCCACTGTCAAGCGGCAAAGATGTTTGGGTAAGGATCTTAGGAGCTGTCACTGAGGAGCTCTGGCTGATGGATGCACCCAGCTGAAACTCCAACTTTGCTCTCCCACCTCGTCCTGCCCTCCCACCTCCTTGCAGCGGCCTTTGTCTTGTGAAACTTGCTACTTGTCTTGTTCAGTGTCTACAGTTCTGCCTTCACATTCTGCTTCTTCTTTGTCTGACAGGCAACTCCTGACTCAGTCTTCCTCTCCCAGAATTCACCTGGTCTGCTTACCCTGCCTATACTTCCTGCCTGGCTACTGGCCAATCAGCATTCTATTTATCAACCAATCAGAGCAACACATTCACAGCATACAGAGCGACATCAGCCAGCACATAACTGATCTGAGTGTTTGTGATTTGCCAGCTATTGTGCAGAAAATGGGATCTGCCCTGTGACACTCTCCCTAAAGCTCTCACTTATCCATACCCAAGTTTCTTGGCATTTCTGGGGATAGCCCTGCAAAGTAACACCTCTACCCCTTTCCATGTGCCCTGCTCACTGTTGAGAAATCACAATCCTTCTTCACCTTTCAACACTCTTCATTACCGAAGTCCACTACCAAGAACAAAAGCACCTGCTCCATTCACACTCTCTGCTTCTCTGCAGCCTCCCTTATTAGCCCTCTCTGCCCTCTACACCTCTTCTAAGGCAGTAGTAGTTGCACCCAGAACCTGCTCTATACTGTTACAGCATGGATTAGATTCTGGACCTTTGTGGTGGTCTGCTTTGTTTTATTGAACTGCACTCAGCAAGAGCTAAACAGTCATTCATTCATCTTTTCAGAGTGGGCATAGGTCCTTGAAACCATGATCTGCAGACTAGGCATCTCCCAACTCCTTCTGGTCTCCAAGGAGGGAAATATTGTGCATGGAACATGGAGCTAGAAATATGGCACAAAAGAGTAGTTCCATAATGACCCAACCGATAAAATAACTCTGCCAGGGAAAATAGTGTCTAGTACTTATTGAACCTTTTCCAGGGACAAGTACTGTGCTGAACATTGCCTGTGTTCAATGGTTTACTTCATGGGGGTCCCACTACCAGAGTTCTAGATCAACCATTTAATCAAACCCATAACCAGCTTCCCAGCTGGTGACATATAAACCAGTCTCCACTTAATCTTCCAAATACTTTTCATCAATGGTAAGACATAAGATTAAAATGTCTGTCGATGTAGTATGAGTCCTTTCCAGTTTCTGTGGCTCTTGGAAGACAACTTGGAGGTAAGGGGCTCTGGTCCTCAGGGAGTGAGAGCTCGCATTTAAGTACAGACAGATGGGTGAAGTTGGTCTATCTTAATCCTGCATTCTGTACTTGTGGCTGAGCCACTTGTAACAATGTGTTTCTGAGTGCCCAAATAAGCTGGAAGCACTTTGTGTGTGCTCCCGGGTAGAGCAGTGAATGGTTGGGTCACGTGATACCCAAATTCCATCTTAAATCAGAGCAGCACACTGCTTCTCCCATCTCCCTCACTCCTTTCTTGTCCGTTTACTGCATCATTTCCCTCACTTTGGTGCTGTCACTGATGTCTTGTTTAAAAGGGCTCTAGGGAATAGGGAATGTGTAACTAAACACACCAGTGCTATAGTGTGTGTGTGTGTGTGTGTGTGTGTGTGTGTGTGTGTGTGTGTGTGTGTGTGTGTGTGTGTAGTGAGCATCCTTCCGGTTTTCGGTACAGAACTATTGGGTATGAGTTTGGTGACAATGTCAGCAATACATTAGCTCCACAAGAAGAGACTTGTCTACAGGTAAGTGGGACTGTCCTGCAAAGTGCTAATATGATACCTGTAATGTCTGGTGAAGCTGCAAAAAGAGGAGAGAGAAGCTGAATCTGTGGGCTCTTGACACGAGGAAGAATATTAAAAACATGTAGTAGACAACACAGTTGTGAAAATGAAGCCAGAGAAATCTACGCTTTTATGTTCCTCGAGGCACCTTTCCCATGGCAGTGCAGAGTGATCTGCTTCTTTAAACAGCGCTGTGCTCCACAGTCCCCAGTGTTCTGAGTGCCAACATGGTGCCAGGAGTAAGAATTCCACAAATGGGCTTCCATGGCAAGTTACAGTCAAAATGTATTAGATGTCTTCAAACATCTGTGAGAGCGCCAAAAAGATGGCTTAGAGGTTAGGAGCACTTGCTACTGTTGCAGGGACCTGAGTTTGGTTCCTAGCACCAGTGTTGGGAGGCTCACAGCCATGTGCCCCTTCTGGCCTCTGTGAGCAACTGTACTCATGTGCACATAACTAAAATCAAAATAAGTCTTTAAAAAGTATGTCAATGAATTTGATGTTTCTAATTAGATCCCATCTCTATAGAACTTCATTATGTATACACAAATATTCCAGAATTTACCAACTCCCCATCACCTTATCAGAGATATCCATAAGTCAGAGTTCTATCCCCGCACAGAAACTTAGTCCCTTTAGGGGCCTTGAGCTTCTGTGGCCACTGCCCATGCTCATGTAGTTTGATAGTGAGTGCTTGACCATCAGACAGAGAGCAAAGGGGACACAGACGTTTGGTGAAGTAAATAGCCACATGCCATTTTATTCCCCAGAGCTACCCCTTCCTGACCACTGTGATTGATGGAGTGCTTCTGCCAAAGGCACCGGAAGAGATCCTGGCTGAGAAGAATTTCAACACTGTGCCCTACATCGTGGGCATCAACAAGCAGGAGTTTGGCTGGTTTATTCCCACGGTGAGAAAGTACCAACCTCCCAGGATTAACCCCAGAACCCCTCATCACCTGCGACCAAGACTTCTTCCTTTTCTGAACGTCTCTTTGAATCCAAGGAAGCTGTTACCTTTGTCACAGGTGGACATTTCCATGGAAACGTTCTCCAAGATGGTCCAGCTGTGACCTGGGAAGTGCGGCCCTAGGAGTTCCTCTCCCCACACTCTTTGCCTTTCCCTAAAGAATCCTAAAAAGCTCCGGGTGAGAGATCTGTAGTGATGAGAGTTGTCCAGATTGCTCTTGATCTTAGCCCCAAGGCCAAGAAGTGATGGAAATTGTTCAGATGGAATAACTAAACACACCTAGGAAGGAGTGGGAGCTAGAGTAAGGAGTCAGGCTGGGCTCAGCAGCTTCCGCCTTGGAGTTGAACTCACATGTCCAGAGATCTCCACGGGCACACTGACTAAGGCCAGGGAAGACTGGTTTTACATAAGTGAAAATTGGCATCCCAAAGGAAAATGGGGTTTTCCTGTGTTAAAAACAAACAAAGAAAAATACACATTCAACTACAATATATAGGGTTCATTTAATAGTATAAGTGCGCTAGAGAAGAGATCAATACAAAGTTAACTCTGATCCCTGGCACCAATAGTGGAAGAGGTTTCAAGGCTGTGATGTCCTCAAAGAGCCACTGTGATAGGAAGGATGAGTCAGTGTGGCCAGAAACAGAAGTGTTAGTCCACACTCCTCTGCAGAAGAAACATCCTTCTCTTCATAGAAAGATTCGGAGCTGGAAGTTGACATTGAGTGCTTACTGAAGTTAGGGCTGATTCCTTCCAGAAAGACTGGCAGAGAGAACAAGTACGCTCTCCCCAAATGTTTTTACTTCATAGAAGTTTCAAAAATCATAGCAAATCACTCCCTGGTCCTTGAGGAAACTGTTTTTGTTGAGGCATTAATATCTCAAGGAGCATCATAACGTTTTTTTAACTGCAAGCTTTCTACAGTAGCTGCTTTAGCAGAGGTCAGGGGCAGTCTGCACAACCCCAGGTTTTCTCCCAGCAGCACTGAGCTTCCCAGGTAAACATGGCACGGGGATAGGTCATGCCTCTACAGCCATGCTGATGTTAGGTTGTCTCTGGCTGCAGAGGTTTGCACACATCGACACATGATAAGAGTTCTGCAGCTCTCAATACAGAAGGTTTTCAGAGATTAGCAAATGATAGTCATAATGGTTGCTTGTAGATTTGGTGGTGGGATGTCTTGTGCCCTCTGTCCCTGAGTTCTATTCAACTTCTAAATACCTGGTCTTAATGTTCTCTCACTGTGTAAAGGATCTTTGTGTATAGTCCAGCTTAATAAACAGACAGATACTCATACACACACATACACTTACACACACATTCACACACTAGACAGGCACATACACACACATTCAAACACAATCAGCTTCTGCTAAACATGTTTTTAATCTCTTTTGTGTTCTTTCATTTTCTGGATAAATCCACCAAGCTAACTGTTATTGTCTAATTCATCAAAACCCATGCATATCAAGGCCTGTGAATACCTTCACTCTGCATCAGTTTGATTGACTGGTCAGCCTGTTTGGTTATTCCCATTAATTCCGAACAATTTACAAATGACTAACCATTTCTTTAACAGATGATGGGCTATCCACTCTCTGAGGACAAACTGGACCAGAAGACAGCCACATCCCTCCTATGGAAGTCTTACCCACTCACTGTAAGTACAAGTGGGACCATGGGAAATTGTTGAGATTCAAGGAAGGGCTGGGAGCTTTCCCTGAGTCACAGGTCAATTAAATGGTAGGGCAAAGGCAACTGGAATCTGGAGTTTGCACCCCAGAGTAAGGATGCAAAGGAGAATGTCATAGTCAACAGAAGTCTTCTCAATGGGCTGGAAAAATCACATTGCTCATTGGTGGAGGTGGGCTCTTTCTTGATTTATTTCAGAACATCTCCAAGGAACTGACTCCAGTGGCCACTGAGAAATATTTGGGAGGATCAGACTGCCCTAACAAAAAGAAAAAGCTCTTTTTAGACATGATGGGAGATGTTTTATTTGCTGTGCCATCTGTGATTGTGGCCCGCTACCATAGAGGTGAGTCCCTGGGGCTGGACAAAAGAGGGACACTGACTCCCAGCCTAGTCAGATGTGGAAACTGCTGAGGGTCGGGACTCAGAGGCTCATTCCAAATGACCCAGAGGTGGTGTAGGGTATGTTTTACATTTTTTTCTATTACATGAATCTCTGAAACAGGGCACAAACACAAGTAGTCAATTTGGGAGTCAATCTCAGTAAACACTCCTAGGGAGGTGAGGATATGATACTGGAAAGAGGCTGATCAGTGGTCCACTGCCAAGCAAGTGTCTACTATGGATGGATGGAGCTGAGAGTTCTTAGAACCATGCAGAGGACACATCTCAGGATTATCCCATATGAGGACTGAAGGAACTAGTCACACCCATCAGCACACAGTGGAGAGCTATTTCAGTGTTGTGGGACGTCTTTCTGTACCCTGGGAATATGTGTTGCTCTGATTGGTTGATAATAAAGCTGCACTGTCTTATGACAGAGCAGGATAAGGTTAGGCAGTACATTTGAACTTATGTGATGATGTGAGGTGTGTACAGAGATAAAGTGTACACACTTGGAAAGTTTGGCATAGTCTGACGAGAAACTGAACCAGTAGGATATAGATAACTGATAGACAGATGAGAGGGGATATATTGGGGGAATTGACTTGTGGGATTATTAAGGCCAAGAAGCCTGAGGCCAGAACAGATCAGAGACCCTAGGGTTCTGGCAAAGTGAGCACAAGGTGGAAAGCCTCAGGGCCAGAGAAGCCAGTGGTGTGCTTCTCGGTCTAATCGAGTTCAGAGGCCTTTGAGGACCCCTGGTGTAAGTCTCAAAGTCCAAATGTGAGCATCCCGGAGTCCTGGGCAGGAGTTCAGGGGCAGGAGAAAAAGCTCCAGGAGAGAGAACATTACCTTCTCTCTGCTTTCTTCTCTGCGATGCCCAGCAGGTCAGAGGACACGTGTCCTCACTAAGGGTAGACCTTCCCCATTAGTGTACCACACTCATATTCCAGTCTCCCCTGTAAAGAGCCTGCTCACACCCAGAAATAATGCTTTATGGTTTTCTGGTAGGCCTTAATCCACTCAAACTGATACCTAAAAGTAACCTTCAGAGAACCTGTTCAAGGTCAGAGGTTGCTGTAGGGTATCTTGTTCACAGGAGTGGGGCTGGAGAAAAAGTAGAAGGAGCCACATAGTATCAAAGGCTAGACAGGACCCAAAGTGCAGAGGCAGAGGGTGCTGGGACATGAGGAGAGATGGTCTACAGACGATTGTCATCCATGCCTATCCTTTGGCCAACTCGGTAACACAGGTGTGGGTAGATTGAGGGCTGAAGTGGGTCTTCTCTGGGACTTTCCAACACTGTCCCAAGGCTGTGCAATGCAAGTAAGGTATGATGTTATGAATGCATGAGCCCACCTAAAAGTGGGATGTGCTCTCCCAGGCACCATTTGGGGAGCCTCCCAGGACCCTTTCTTGTTACCAGCTCATTTGCTTCATTTCAAGGAATAGTCCAGGAAATATTTCTCTAGTTTAAACTTCCCTTTCTAACCATTCAGTTTTTCTTTTTAATTCAGGACTTTATAAACATATATACTGGTGTCTTAGTTAGGGTTGCTGTGGCTGTGATGAAACACGATGACCAAACACAAGTTGAGAGGGGAAGGGTTCATTTGACTTCCACTTCCACATCACAGTCATTCACTGAAGGAACAGGAACTCAAACAGGGGAGGAACTTGGAGGCAGGAGCTGATACAGAGGCCATGGGTCAGTGCAGATTACTGGCTTGCTCCTCATGGCTTGCTTATCCTACTTTCTTGTAGAATCCAGGACCACTAGCCCAGAGGTGGCACCACCCACACTGGGCTTTGCCCTACCCTATCAACTACTAATTTAGAAAATGCCCTACAGACAGATTTTATGGAGGTATTTTCTCAGTAAAGATTCCCTCCTTTCACATAACTTCAGCTTGTGTCAAGTTGACATAAAACTAGCCAGCGCAACTAGCTACAATGAATGTCTTGGATAATATTGTCCCAGTTTTATATACAGAAGGATATATGCTAAAACATCAAGGGACTGCCAGTGGTGAAATTATGAGGAATTTTTTTCTATATTTTTCACGATTCTTATTGAATGCAAGCAAGGGAAAGGAGACAGATTTTTCCCTGCTTTGGAGCCTTCTCCTTCTCTAGAGTCGCTCACGTCTCTGTGGGCATCTATGCCCTACCATGACCACTGGTCCTGAAGTCCCTGGGATGCATGGGTTAGTACATAGCAGAAGTAATTAGCTGATCCAATGATCCAGTGGGCAGGAGCCATGGTACCGTGGGCTTAGACATGATGTCTTTGCTAGTGAGAGAGGAAGGCAAAGGAGAGAGGCAAACTCACTTTCCCCTCACACCTGAAGGCCTTAACACTCCCAGCCAAGCCTGCTCAAATAAGAATCCCAAGTTCCATGGATTCATGAAGCCTAAGAGACAGAGTTCTCGCTTTCTTCATAGACTGGCATTCATATGACCTCATGGTCAGGCAGGTGGCTTGGATTTGCATCACTCTTTTCTGGATGACTGAGGAAAACACTGGAGATGCTCAAAACCAGGCTGAAAGAAGATGCCTGCTAGGTGCAGAGCTGCTCAGAGTGAAGGAGCACAGGATATCATCACTGAAATGCATCCAGGCACACACTGCCTGCACTGTATTCACTGAGCCTGCCTCTAGTGAAAGCCTTGTTCAAATCCCAGTTCTCCTCAACCATCAACCTCAAGCAAGCCCTAAGGATTCCCTAAAGCTCTGTTTCTCTCCTAGCTGTGCATGTGGTGGTGAGCAGAGGTAGAGGACTTCATATCACCCATGTATGTCTGGTAACATGCACTGTACATGAGTCCATGTCTTCTCAGATGCTGGAGCCCCCACCTACATGTATGAATTTACGTATCGTCCAAGCTTTGTGTCTGACATGAGACCCAAGACGGTGATAGCAGACCATGGTGATGACGTTTACTCTGTTTGGGGGACACCATTTTTAAAAGGTAATAGCTCCCTGTTGGCTTGAACTTCAAGTTAGAAGCCTTGAGTTCTAGTCCTGCTTTGGTGGCCTTAAACAAGTGTCTCTTTAAACATTTCTGTGGCAAAATGCCTGAAAGAAGCAACTTCACCAGAAAGAGTTTATTCCCACTTATGGTTTCAAAGGACCTCAGTCCACCATAGTGAGGAAAGCACGGAGGCAGGGGCATGGCATTGGCTGGTCACATGGCATTAGGAGTTAAGACGCAGAGAGGGACTAGGGAGTGGAGCCAGCTATAAACCTCAAGGCTCATGCCGGTGACCTACTCCCTACAAGTCTCTACATCCTAAAAGCTCCCCAGCCTTCCCAAACAGTGCCATGAGTTGGAGACCTAGTGTTCCAATGCACAAGCGTAACAAGGACATTTCACATCCGAACTGCAACAAAGACAGAGCTATCTCCTGCAGTTTCCACTGCTTCTCTTCCTCTCTGATCCCAACCTGTGATATCAGCAGGTTAAGTGGAGTGCCATCTGTAGGGCCTCAGGCAAAAACACCACTATTTGATTTTCTAATTGCAGGAGCCTTTAGAATGTGAGAGAAGAGAAAGTTAATGCTTGGGAAGGGTCTAACATATGCATTTCCATATCTCTGCCTATATGTCAAAATATCAAAGTTTATAAATTCTACTAACATAATATTTAAAGAAAAATTCTCACAAATATCTTCAGCACTTTGATATCCAGCGTGTGTAGGTGACCTATGACTCACATCATGGCTATTCATAGCACACCAGTACCTCTGAGTGTCTCCTACTTTGGTGACCCCTTGGAACACTACTAGTTTTGGTATAGTTCAGAATCTATGCGAATGAGAGAGGATCCAAGTCAGCAACCTAGGAGCCAAGGGAGACTCTGGGATTTAGCACTGTAGCCTTGAGTAGGGAGGGAAGAGCAGGTCACCACGAGAAACAAAGGCAGCTCATGGACAGACTACATGTCCATTTGTGAATCCTAGACTAGTCATTTCCAGACTTAAATAGAACACTCAGCCTAACTCTTCTACAAATGGGGATTCCGACTCAGCAGGTGTATGGTAAAAGTGAAGACTATATTTCTAAACACCCCAGCCTATGCTAACACTGCCCATGCCCTGCACCATGATCAGGAAAGGACTCCTCTCTTCTTCCCCACAGAGGGTGCCTCAGAGGAGGAAATCAACCTCAGCAAGATGATGATGAAGTTTTGGGGCCATTTTGCTCGAAATGGGTGAGGCTGGTGAAAAAGATGGAGTGGGTATGGAGAGTGATGTGGGGTTCTGGGGAGACTCCCAATGGGAAGGGGTAGTTTCTAAAATCTGAGTGAGTGCCCATAGTGTTCTGACAGCGAGAACTCCCTAAGAATGGCTGGGCTGCTCCCAGAAGATTGGAGGAGTCTCTGGTGCTCTAGGACCTCTTGGTGATGATACGCCAAGGAATTCTCATAACCCTCAGAGAAATGTGAGGACCCCATAGCAGCTTTAAGGGCCTTTGTTTGATTCTGTTCCCAGGAACCCCAATGGAGAAGGACTGCCACACTGGCCAGAGTATGACCAGGAGGAAGGCTACCTGCAGATTGGAGACACCACTCAGCAAGCCCAGAAGCTGAAAGACAAGGAAGTGGCTTTCTGGACTGAGCTCCGAGCTATGGCAGTGGAGAAGCCGTCCAAAGGAGACACGGAGAAATGAATAGGAAGGCGTGTAGCCCTAGAAGTCTTTATCAGCCACAGCAAGGCTGTTCCACAGAAGGTGTTTGTAATTCAAAGAGCTTTCTCATCACCTACGCTAGAGAACTGTGTGTTGTGAGTGGGCAGAAGCCAGGAAAGAGAAATGCTCATTTTCAATTTGTAAAATAAATGAAATGTTTTTTTTGTGGGGGGAACCAAATCAGTGTCTGTTTCTTGAACTTCAGATGAACCCATCCTCCTCAGATTGAGCAAGGTGAAGAGTGAGGTCACCATCAGTGGGGAGACTGCCCCTGTGGGAACAGGTTGGCCTATGCTGAATCCCAGCATGCTTGGAGGTGCTAATGGGTACTTTGGATATAGTCAGCACTGAACAACAGAATATGGGAAAGGGGGTATGACAGAATGACAATATACACATGTTATGGGAAGATCTCAGTTTCCTCTAGTGTAGCTGAAGTTTTCCTGGTCCTGCCTGGCCCATGGTCAGGACAAATCTTTCTCACCCACTAGTCCCACAGCCAAGTAAACACACAGAGACTTATATTACTTATAAACTGTATGGCCATGGCAGGCTTCTTGCTATCTAGTTCTTCTATCTCAAATTAACCCATTTCTATTAATCTATACCTTGCCACATGGCTCGTGGGTTACCAGTATCTTTACATGTTTCTTCTCATGGCAGCGGCTGGCAGTGTCTCCTGACTCAGCCTTCCACTTCCCAGAATTCTCCTTTCTCCTTGTCCTGCCTATACTTCCTGCCTGGCTACTGGCCAATCGGTGTTTTATTTATTAACCAATCAGAGCAACACATTTAACATACAGAACATCCCACAGCACTCTAGTCTTGACCTCAGCACCAATCTCTGTTCTCATGTTCCCCAGTGAGATTAAGTCAGACAAGACACGGTAGTAGATCATGTAGTCAAGAGTTTAATTACAAGAAACAAAGAAACAAAAATATACTCTTTAGGAAAATTGTGAGTTGAGCTAATCAACAATGACCCCAATCCCAGCAGACAGAGGGCTTATATCTCCCCTCTGTCCACTTCTCCTCCTTTTGCTTCCTCTAGGGTGGGCACTTCCAGGAAGAAGGTGGCTTCTTCTTAGAAGCTCATTTTATCAGAATTCAGTCTGTAAATATATAAGACAGAAGAGTATGTATGGGGACTTAGAGTTCATTCGGGTACAGGCTACAGCACTCAGCCCATGGTTCCCTAGTGAGGAAGTCCCTGATTCAGCCAGAGACCATGACCATCTATTGTTCTTCATGTTCTATTCTTGAGGAACCCTGAACTGATCTGTCCTGAGTGACCAGGTGACCACCACCATTACCTTTATAACTTGTTTCAGGGTCTTGAGAAAGGCCCCTATAGTTCTTTATGTGCTACTTTAGGGACCTTTGGTAAGTCCCTGCCAGATCTAACCTCCTGCCTAAGAAGAGGAAGCTAGAGAGATGCTGTGGTGACTGTGGCACCCTTGCTTTGGTTCTGTGACCCTTCCATAGTTCCTCAGTCCCTTCCTGAACATAGCCCTGGAGGCTATTTCTTCTAAAACTGTTCTGAACCTTTCTGTATCTGGAATAACTTCCTATCCAAGCACTGACCACTCCAGTAGTTTCCTAAAGTATAATTCCAAAAGGATCTCAAGAAAAATCTGAGAAGAGACTTCTGGATTCTCTGGGATATGTTCACTCCCAGGAGCCTCACTCTATCCTAACAGCACAAAAAGCTGTATTACCACCCAAATCAGAACCTCCTTCACTGAAGGGCTGAAGTTACAGGGTCAGTGATTACCCAGAAGTCAAAGGGAGGACAAACCATCTGGAGGACAGATAGAATGCCTTACATTCCCACTATGGGGTTGAATATGGGATGGGGCTGTATACAGAATCTCTTTTATGAGTTCTTGGTGTTGCAGATAAAGGAACTTAAAACTAGGCACAGAAGGGAACTTGAAAACAGTTAATAGAAGCCAGAGAGGTGGGTGGGTGGGGCGAAATATAAATCCTTGAGCAACACCACATCCCAGGAATCATAGAATCCCAAGACCTTAAACATATTCAGCTATCTCAAAGCTATTCAAACCCTGATCATCTGCTTCTTTATTTGTCATGAATTCTTAAACCATTGCCCGTAAGTGATTCACTCAACCATTAATCCTACTTCCTTCCCCAGGAGACTAGGCCATGGAGCTCTAAATCCCACCCTCTAATCCTGTCTTTGTCTGTAAATTATACTAAAAACTACAAAAATATAGTATCTTGGGGTTTCTGCTGCTGCAATGAAACACCATGACCAAAAAGCAAGTTGGAGAGGAGATTTATTTGGCTTACACATCCATATTACTGTTCATCATCAAGGAAGTCAAGACAGGAACAGGGCAGGAACCTGGAGCAGGAGATGATATAGGGACCATGGAGGAGTGCTGCTGACTGGTTTATTCTCCATGGCTTGCTCAGCCTTCCTTCTTATAGCACCCAGGACCACTTGCTCGGGGATGGTACAACCCACAATGGCTGGGCTCTCCCACATCAATTACTAATGAAGAAAATGCTCACAGACAGATCTTGTAGAGGCCGTTTCTCAATTGAGGTTCCCTTCTTTCAGATAACTCTAGCTTGTGTCAAATTGACATAAAACTAGTCAGCACACGTAGCTCTAGTGATTAAGTTTTATAACAGAAAACAGGAATAGAGTCAGGAACTACAATGTCGTAGAACCACAGATCCAAGGAAGAGTTGACATCTTAGAAATTCTTCTCCATAGACCTTTATTGGGTGGATACTCCAGGGTGTAGGCATGAAGCCCATGACGATCCTTCTCCCTTGAAGAAGAAAACCCTTCAACCATCTTGTAGAGAGCAACACTCCAACGCTATTACTCTTAGTGTGAAAGAGAGAACTGTCTTGGGTCAAAGTCATTAAAGATATTTCAATGTTGCAGAGGGGTATGGCCCCTGAGCAGGTCCTGTCTCCAAGGCCCTTCTAAGGTTGAAGTTGGACCAGACAAAAACTGATGCTACCACTGAGTAGGTAGAGACAGTGTGAAAGGCATATGCACAGGGCAGCCTGAAGTTGAAGGTGGAACAATGCGTTAAGAAAACCTATCAAAAGCTAGCCCTCATACAAGCACACTAAAACACGCAGAGCGTGGGGCAATACAAGAAAATGTGAATCAACTTGTACTTCAGATACCCAAGGCAATAGGGATAGAGTACACATAGCACACATGCACATGCACATACAGTGAGCTGAGCAGAATGCGGGGCGGGGGGGTGTCTCTACAAATGCCACAGCCAGCGGTGTAGCAATCCAAGTGAGACAAGAAGGAAATCCAGCTCAACACAACTCAGTAGCTGGCGTTGGTTCAAACTTCTCAAGTCTGACACTGGGCAGTTTATTTTAGGCATGTTTAAGTATAATCCGGAAAAAAAGTTTCTTAGTATAACACAATTCTATATGCACAACGGGGCATAATTATATTGAAACTCTTCTCAAAGTGCATGTCACTTCTTTCATGAGGATGGGTTCTAAAGATAGGCTACATGTGTTATCTTACAGGCCTAGGGGAGGATATGGTGTGGTCTCTGTCATGCAGCTGGCACAGAGGTCATCTAGACTACTAGCCACCCCTGGTCCTGGTTGTGGGAGCTTGAGAGAGCTGTTGGCCATACAGACAGCAAGGAGGGATCTGTTGGCCATACAGATAGCTCGAAGGTCACCTAGACTCTTAGCCACCCGGTCCTGGTTTAGGGGAGCCTGGGGGAAGCCAGGTATGGCCTGGCCTTACAAACAGTGCAGAGGTTACCTAGGCTATTAGCCACCTCCGTTCCCAGCCTTCTTGGGGGAAAATAGATTATGCATCTTTTTCTATGTCTCTTCTAAGTCAGTCCTATGTGTTTAGCATTCCTGGTTTCCCTAGTTCTACCTGTGAGTTCAAGGGCCTTTGTCCTCCCAAGAAGAAGGCATGTCTATTTCCATTCATACAGGTTGATCCCATTTCTACACTCTTAAACATGATGCAAAACATTTAATGCAACGTTGAGAACCCGGAAAAGCAAGAAAGCACCCATTAACAAGAGACAAATTAAGCATCAGAAGCAAATGCAGGGTGAACCTCACCACTGTTGGAACTAGGGCCTGGAGCTGGAGGATTAAAAGAATCATTTGAAAAACTTACGTGGATAGGTGATAGTGAAAGCAGCCAGAGGAAAGAGCCAGAAATGCAGAGTACCAAAGAAGGGGTTGTGGCAAATTCTTTTTATTTAATTCCGTACATGAATTATTTACTTGCTTCATTTCCACTCTTCTCTCTTTCCCCTCTGCGCCTTCTCATGCCTCCTCCCTCTCAAATCCATGACTTCTTCTTTAATTATTATTGTTGCAGATATGTGTCCTGACTAGTTTTGTGTCAGCTTGGCACAGGCTAGAGTCATTTGAGAGGAGGGACCCTCAACTGAGAAAGTGACTTCCTAAGACCAGGCTGTGGGCAGGCCTGTAACACATTTTCTTAAGTAGCTATCGAGAGAGGAGGGCCCAGCTCATTGTGGGTGGTGCCACCCCTGGGCTAGTTTCCACAAGAAATTTTACTGCTGAACAAGCCATAAGAAGCAAGCCAGTAAGCAGCACTCCTCCACGGCCACCTTCAACTTCACCTCCTGGCTGCAGGTTTCTGCCCCGTCTGAAGTCCTGTCCTGAATTCCTTTGATGATGAGTGCTCTGGAATCAGAGGCAAAATAAACAAAACAAACCCTTTCCTCCCCAACTTGCTTTTGGTCATGGTGCTTCATCACAGTAATAATAACCCTGATTAAGGCAATATGTATGTATATATTAATATTATAACCTAAAACCCACTGGGCTCTTTGAAGTGTTGTTCTTACATACATGTGTTTAGGACTGACCATTTGATATTAGATAACACGTCAGGGGCCTTTTCCCTGCAGAAAACTGGTTCTCTCAGCAGGCATTGATCATGTAGGGGCGGGGCCTTGTGAGATTTC